TTGAATCCTAAGCTCGTATTTTTTCCGAGAAGTTCCTGTCTGTCTTCTTGCCTCTTTCGCGCATATTTTTTTGTGTTTGAGTTTAAGTAAGGCATTTATGTATTAATATCCCTTTAAATTAATTTCTTATTAAACTTGGGTGACCATTTCAGTTACATTTTCTACAGGCCTATTATGATCGTATGAATCAATGAATTATAGGCCTATATATAAGTCAAACTACAAAAACAGAATGATGAAAATATATTCAGAAAGCGGTCGTCACACATTTTCAAATTATCTATTCGACTCATGAATATTCTATCGTTCCTTTATGAAATTTTATCAATTATTCAATTGCTTGCGAAATCTCTGTATTCTTTATAATTTTAATTATCCTGGCCTTTCACTTTTTTACATTTTTAAGATTATTTTTATATTATAGCTAATTATATAGTTAAGTTTAATTTTTTTGGGTTCCAGACTTTTGTCATAGTGACTTTGTTGCTTTTGGGCCCCAAGGCACTTGTCTGACTAAATGAAATGTTATTGTTAGCAGTCCTATTCTGAAATATGATAGACCTATTTTGAAAGATACTGGTGAATTAAGAATCATTAACAACAAAACGCAAGATTCAATCATTCACATATACAGTAGTTAGGCCTAGCATGTTATTTCCTCCATGGGGCTATAATAAAACATGTTTTGTTCAGGGGCAGCTTAAGCAAATTTTACTACAACTCATTGAGAATCAGCCGCCCCATTAATTTTTTTAAAACCATTAAGATACAATGTAAATAAAATATGCCTATCTTAATCCAAAAGTTCAACATTTTTCTTGACTGAAGAATAACAACCCCACCCCTCCTTTCCCCACTCTTGCGACATTTCTTATTGTGTTATATGTATGGGCACTAAAGGAGTAAACCTGCCTTCACATCGGATCCGAACCAACACTCGGACCGCGTTTCCGATGCACTGGACGTCAGCGTCCCTATTCTTACACGCTGATTCGACTTCCTGATCGGTTCGGTAGGCTTTCCGATCCAAAAATCTTATTTCGTGTGGAGTTGGCTTAAATGCGAATGAGATAAGATTTATGGAACTGTAGCATTCTAACACTAATTTTAGACAATGGGAATCTCTCTAGTACGGTAAATAATCAAGTTTCTGTAATGTACCGGTACCTTGCAATTAAATGGATAACATTTCCACATAAGAATAATATCCTCATAGTCGAAAAGCGGAGGTACTAACCCATTGCCTTTAGGTTTAAGAAACAAACCTACGCCTCTTAGACAAACATTTTCCAAGGAAACATAACGATATAGGCCTAAGGTACAATTAGTATTGAGTTAATAAACATGGAAAATACAATTAGATATTTGAAATTTAAACATTAAATATTTATTTATTAAGTTATTAGCTTTCAATTAAAAAAAGAGGGAGTTTTCGCAACTTAAAAAAAAAAAAAACGATAACGAATAGGCCTACGGTTACATCATCAAATTATTATGCAAATATCATAACTATTTACCAAACGCTTTAAAGGTATTGTTTGTTACTACAAAATACCCATTATAAAACATATAAATATGTATATAGCCTATATAACCTATAGGCCTATAATAGAGGCTCATATATATTATATTACTATATGTCTATAGGGCTATATACAAAAATATGGAGGTGTTACATTGTTGACAAATGTAATTTAGTAAGTACAGATATTTGTACACACACACACACACCCACCCACACACAAACACACACACACACACACACACACACACACACACAGATTCAGCGTTTTGATTATTATGCAGGCCTATTGTACTGAATACGATATGCTTATCATCAAACACTTTTCAAAGTCATTCAATAGAATAGCCTAATTATATAACAAAACCAATTTGTCAAGCTGCCAAATGTACTATCAGGCCTATAGTTGTATAGCATGGAAGGCCTAAACCATTTCGTCAAAGCACGTGAGCCGAGCCCGCCGCTTACTTTCATGTTCTGCCTGCTATATTTACTATCTGAAATGTTATTTACTGCCCACGCACTACGACATTGCACAACCTAAGACAGAAGAGACAAGTAGACATCCCATGAGTATTAATTCAATCCCTACCGTACCTTATCCTTTTCCTTAATGGACGGTAAATGACGTCACAATATACCTAAATGATGATACTGTGAGGTGTTCACCTCTAATCAATCAATCCTTGTATATCTGATGATGATGAATAAAATGATAATGTATATATATATATATAAATATTTTATATATATATATATTTTATATATATATATATAAATAATATAGCGTAACAGTAATGAAATTCAAATACGTAAGATGTTGACTTTAGAAACACCATATATATATATATATATATATATATATATAATATATAGGCCTATATATATGTATGTGTGTCTGTGTGTATATATATATATGTATATAATAATAATATAATATAATAATAATAATAATAATAATAATAATAATAATAATAATAATAATAATAATGACAATGGAGATTATGACAACGATTCGTCATCATCTTTTTTGTTCCTCATCATCCAGGGGCGGATCCAGAATTTTTCAAACCTGGGTGGGGGAGGGGGCACAACAGTTTCAGAAAAGGTATGTGATTAGCAAATAACATTGATTTGCATTGAATTTTTTTTATATTTAGTGGCAAAACGGTGCCTCTTACTTGATCCGCCCCTGTCATCATGGGATGAAGATATCTTCATCCCATCTTCAGGATTCTGTGTCTAATTCCTCGTCAAGATGTTTTTTTTAACACTAAAACAAATCTATACTCTGAAAAGAGTTTTAAGCATTTTTGGGCATCTGGGCTATACCAATGTTGGTTGGACAAAGAATTGACCCCTAGGCCTAATCATGACAACAGTCTATAAAGCACCTTTCAAAGAAAAACAAATTAATAAATACAATGATTCCATTTTGTGTACAGACGAATGTATGCAAATATCTTACTGTAAACATAAAAATGAAAAATTTGTTTTATTACAAAAAACGTACTTGTATATACCATTTTGTATTTGTTGATGATTATAA